GTGAAATTACTTTTTCTGTGAAGGAGAGAGATATTTTTTTTTCCCCTCACCATTTCTCCCCCAGCAGTGGCCAGCACTCTGCAGGGCAGCGGGGAGAGCTGTGCTGCTATCCTCTCCCACGTCCTCTGCCTGGAACAGAGGGACAGATGGGTTCTTGACAGACACAGGCTTGAGTGAGGGTCTTCCACACTTGGCTGCCCTTTCCTTTCCTCTTTTCTGCAGATGGAGATCTCCATTAAGAAAAGACTCACTTTATCTGATGTCAAAGCGAAGGGTGGGATCTTTACATTTTTGTAAGCATTACGTTTAGGTTGAGTAGAAAATAGGAAGATTCTGCATGTTTACAGCAGCAGATGCCTCAAAAGTATTTATTTTATTCAGAGGCTCTATTTTTAAGATGTCGAGGGTTCTTTGTGTGGTTCTTTGTTTTTTAAATGCCAGACTTCCTCTGAGTGAGGAAGGCTTGTTTAGCAGTGGTGTAGAATTATTCAATTTAAGAAGGTTATAGCTCAGCATAGACCAAGTAGCTACTGGGAAATAAAAAAGTTCTTCAAGTTTTATAGCTGTCTCAAAGCCTAATGATTCCTGAAAGCCAACTTCATTGGAGCCTCTGTGCCAGGCTGCATTCTCATCCACAGGACCCAGCCACATAAGTTCTGGATTGCTGCACAGGGACAGCTAAAGGTGACCCTGCTCTCTGACACCAACCAGCCAGCTGTGCTCTTTTCGGTTGGTCCCAGCTGGGCTTTCTGCTGCCTGAGAAGAGCTGATATGAGGAAGCACTGCTTTGTTCAGTTACTACAGCTGTCTCCTGAATCATCCTGAAAGAGAACTCCTGAATAAGCTCAGCAAAGCACTCTCTCTTTTGCTGGTAGACACTGTGATGTGCTTTTGAACTGTTTCTGGCACACCACCCTTTTCCTCATTACCTCCTCAGTGTTTTGATGGTTATCAAGTAAGCAAAAACTATCTCATTTTTGTTCTGAGCTACAGTATATACAAGGGAGTGCTGATGTAACGGGAAGAAATTAGAAGCAAGGAGCCTCACAACACACCATGCTTCTCTAGCTGTAAGAGGAACATCCTACGGGATGGATCTGCAGGCAAGAACACTTATATTTGAGCTAGTTTAAAATTGCTCGTCTAGGTGCAGCTCCAACATCACAGGCTGCAAAATCTACCCCAGCTTCTGGCTACGTATCAAAGCAACCTGCCAACGACGCGCATGATCTTGTTGCTACACTAACACCAGTACCCAAGTAACTGGTAAGTAACCAGCTAAGTAACCCAGGTATGACCACTGAGGTTGAAATTAAATGGCTAGATTAAAACAGAAACAGGAGAGAGGGAGCTGCCAGGTTCCAGAGATTGGATGCATGTTAGCTGGGACAAGCACTAGGACCAAAGGCTCACTGTCTCTGCGAGCCCCTCACTTAATGTAGCCTAAGACAAGATACTGGAGAAAAAGCCTGCATCCCATTTAGAGACATCAAGGTGAAGCAACGAAATATCATGAAGACTTCAAGGCAAAAGCCTGTATAGTTCAGGGCAGTGTCACACAGCCTGAGAAATCTCATTGTCCTAGCTAAAACCAAGTCACCAGGATTGTGATTAACATGAGTTACAGGGTTCCTCTTTCCTGTAAGTTCTTGGTGATGCCTGGCACATAGACACAAAAATGGCAGGAATGACCTTGCCAGGCACAGAGGTGAGGCTGACCGGTCTGTAGTTGCCCGGGTCCTCCTTGTTCCCCTAGGAAACGTTTTCTCTTCTCTCCCTGCTAATACGAGATAGGACCTTTGCAGGCAGGTACAAGTGTTAATGGTTTTAGCCTACTTATTTGCTTATAAGGCTTATTATTCAAATGGGGACTGGAGGAAAAGAAGGGATGCTTCCTTCAAGCATGAAGCTACATTCAATTCCAAATCAGCCCGCCTCACTGGCCATTTGCTGCCATTTGAATCAATGAAGGGCATTTCCCCTGTTCTTAAAGCAAGGATGCCAATTAGCTTAACCAGTCAGAAATAAGTACAGTATTTTTTTCAACTCACTGCTCAAAGCTGGGAAATTATATCTGATTCTGAATTCAGCTTTCCACCTAGCAGAGAAGCAAGATACTGCTGAAGCTGCTAAGTCCCTGCGTTTTTCCTGCACTATAAAGTAAAAGCTGATCTCTTGCCTCTGAGTTGGGCAGTTTCTTTTGTTAAGTTTGAAACACAGTAAAGTGAGTAATTGGGCTGATGACTGCTCACTCTTTTGACACAGCAGGTCCTAAGGGGTTCCTCAGAAAGCAACAATTCTTTACAAAAATGTAGTGGTATGCTATTATTCAAAAACTTTCCAAGCGCCATTACAGCTTGCTGGAGCTAATAAGGGCTGCAGACCAACCTATTTTCCAAAATGTGAAAATCTCCTTTAATTTACAACCACCCTCAGTGAACAGCGAGCATGGGCTATGGCTGCTACTCTTCCAATTACTTTCCCTCATTTGCTTTAAAGACAGATAATGTTCTCCTGCAGCCAAACAAACAAGTAACTGGAAGGGAAACTCTGCAGAGCTCACTGTCCTGAGGCACACACAGGAGAATGGAAGAGCTCTGAAGGCACAGCAGTGCAGCTCTGGCTATTGAGAAATTTCTGTCTGGCTTGGACTGAGCTGGGCATCCAAATTCCTTCAAAATTACTAGGTTACTGGTATAATAAAGGCAAATGTTTACCTGTTAAATCTATTGCCTTTTGCTCACTGCGTCTGTCTGCAAAAGTACTGTCATTTCATCTTGAGGACTTTATCTTCAAAATACAGCAGAATGAGAAATTTCAAATACGATGGTTTGTTTTCCTTTGACGTCTCAGGACAAGTGTCTCCCACGAAGAGAGATATTTTCTTCTGGGAGACTTCCACATAAAACCAGACAGGAACAAAATGTGACTAAGAGTAATAAATGGCTCTAAGTTCCTGTCCACACACTTTTGTGTCACCAAGCATCCAAAGAGACCAACATTTAACTTTGCTCTTTCCTCCAGCTCCAACCTTCAAAGGTAAGAGAAGGATATGACAGAACTCATCTCAGCTGCACACCTTCAAAAAGGTATACAGAATTCAAATTGATGTACAAAAATTATAATAAATATGAAACCCTCCACTACATCAGCCTCAGAAAACCACCCTGAGTGGGAGGCTTACACTTTCAAAACAACAGATTTGAAGATATCACTACTTGCCCATACTTCCTGACCAACTCCAGCCACTGCAAGAGACAGCCGTTAAAAGAAGCCAAGTCTGAAACTAAGCCAGTCAGGAATCTACCAAACACTGATTTGTGGGAACTAAAATGAAGAACAATCACTGTAATATAATCTATTCATCGTTAAGTAGTGTTGCTCGGGTGTAATGATCTTATCAATATGATGTTTATTCTAGTGTACCACAAACACATTTTAGAAGCATCAGAGCAAACAGTTTTGCTAAGTAGGTTTCATATATTTATAAGCCTATTACACATAAAGCTTTCCCTAGTGAGCTTTTGATCTTGTTCTTCACATTTCATGTTGAGGGTACAGTGCTAACATCACACATCCAATAAAGCAAGCATTTTAGTTGAGTTGCGATTTTTTTTTTTTTTGTCTAAGTGCTTATTTATAGCATACCTCTTTTCACAAAGGATGGCAATAAGTCCAGAAAGTTTTCCTAATCATTGTGAACAGTTAAACATATTGCTACATACCCTTCAAAAATCATGCTTTTATGTTCATCTGAACAGAATAACTTATTAGTCAGATACTTCTTTGACCAGCCATCTGTTTAGAAAATCAATTTCCCCTTATTTTTAAACCAGTTCCCCTTTTCCTTTTTTTTTTTCATTAGAAGTTCTATTTTTCAGAAATAATGCTTACCTGTTAACTTCAGAAGGCTCACCTCTGTTTTACAAAAATGGATAAAGTGGGTTTTTGCAGAGCATTTTGTGGAATACTATAGCATTAAAACTGTTCATCTGTGTTAGATAGATCTGCTTCAGAAAATAAGTCTGTGTCTATAAACCACTTCTGCTTGGCCGTGTGTAAATTAGACTAGCAGACATTTTGAAACTGAATAAAAAAGTGTTGTGTGCAACTACAGCCAGAAATGTGGTATTATAAGTGACCTCTGACGTGAATGTTTCCCATGCTTTTTTTTCTGAGATGGCAAGATAGTGTGTTTTCTAATATCTTGTTTGCACTGCAGGTCTTTAGAGAACCAGCAATAAGATTATCTTCTGTCTTGTACACAGTAATCCCACTGTATTCTAAATTCTCTATTAATGACAGATAGCAAGCAAGGCCTAATTACTGCAACCTCAAAGCTTCATTTCTGCTATCTGAAGTATGTGAAAAGTATGGACTTCTTTTCCTTTCCTGAGAGGAATGCAGAATTCCCAGTCTACTTGCAGTGCTACTACCTGGAGCAGGAGCAATGAGATACTTACTTCAACAGCAAACACTGATTTTCATGAGTGAGTGAACAATGTCTTTTGCCCTTATGCCACAAATAGTTGTGCAATAAAATATGCCATCTGAGATGTCTACTTCTGCAAGATTTTGCATCTCAGTTCAAAAATCACTCAACAGGTATGACTACACTGCAAATAAAAAGTAGACATACTTTTTAATATATAGTCCATGGTGCTCATAATGTCAACATTAGGGACTGCCAGTCTTCTCATCATACATTTGTCCAGATGTGTCCAGTCACCTGAGCAGTCAGTCACTGGGAGCATGTTCAGCCTTGTTTTGAAGATAACTTTGCAGATGCAGCATAGACATATATCATAGGACTACCAGTCACTAAAACTAAAGTTCTAAAGGTATGTCACTGGTAACAATGAAGCGAAGAAGAAAACAGACATGATTTTGCAGGAGGCATTCTATCTCATCAGTGTCCCTGGAGCTTCAAACTCAAACATATTTACATATAATAGAAACTGTGTATGACATTTGCAGAACTTATTTTTCTTGTACGTTACCTTTAAGACAAAGCAGTGATCTGTAGGTGCCTTATATTTCACTTTGTGTTGAGAACCGTAATAAACGTTCATATTCTCAAATTGAATGAAGCATGTCAGATCCTGAGATGTCTACAAATGAAAACCAAGTACATTATTGTTAGACCAAATTGAATTTTGATGTGAAACTCATTAATAGGACCTCTTTCAAGTGCATGAATGCCAATGCTTTTTGGTTTTTTAACTGTCATGAAGTTGACTGAAGAAAGATTAATTTTAAGTATGTGCATTCTTAAACTAAAAATTGGAAGAGGGTCAGTACATATTAAGAATTATATATAACACAGTGCAACACTTTGCTGTTGTTCTGTTTTTCTGTGCTTTATTGCTTTGTGTGGAAATTTTGGCTTATGGCTGATAAGACCAAGTAGAACACCATAGTAAGAAATAACTTCAGTAGAATAGATATAGGCTTTGCAACCACACCCTTACAATTCTGAAGGGACAAAGAAAGTTTGGTGTTCTAAATTGCTTTGAGAGTTTGTTTTTCTTTGGTACACGTAACAGACAAACTCTCATCAGGAAATTTTTTATAACAAGTGAGAACATGATTACATGATGAATTTCAAAACAGCTGCAGCAGCTGAAGATACTATTGTCTGTCAGCTGTTTGTTTCTGTACCTCAATGAAAGATCACTCTACCTACAACTGAATGACTGCGGCAAGGTGAACGTGCACTCTTCACACCACCCTGACGTGGGATGAACTCTCATAATTTAAGGACTTTGACTGAAAAGCTCGGCTGAATTCTCCTGCATTGCTTTAAGATGTTTAGCATCCTCCCTGCACCCTGCTCACAGAATCACAGAATGGTTTGGGTTAGAAGGGACATCAAAGATCATCTAGTTCCAACCCCTCTGCCATGAACAGGGACACTCTCCACTACACCAAGTTGCTCAAAGCCTCTTCCAACCTGGCCTTGAACATTTCCAGGGATGGGGCATCCACAACTTCTCTGGGCAACCTGTTCCAGTGCCTCACCACCCTCAATGTAAAAAATTTCTTTTATATCTAATCAAAATCTCCCCTCTTTCAGTTTAAAGCCATTGCCCCTTGTCTTATCACTATATAACCTTGTAAAAAGTCCCTCTCCAGCTTTCCTGTAGGCCCCCTTTAAGTACTGGAAGGCTGCTATAAGATCACCCCAGAGCTTTCCCTTCTTCAGGCTGAACAGCCCCAACTCTGGAGGGGGCTCATCTACCAGAGATTACTGTCTCCACAAAAGACATGTCTACCTGAGCCTCAGCTGTTAGCATACAGAGTCCAGTAATTAACTCAAATCACTATTAAACACAGATTTGAGCAAAGAGACTTGACTTTGAAATGGCTGAGGCATGGACATATTCATCCTTTTGTTGAAGGCTGTTACAGAAGTAGGAGCAAACAGCTGATTGTGGTACCGTTTTAAAGAGCTGTGACTGTCTCCTGAAGAACTAGATTCAAATCCTTTAAGTGGCTGAGATAGTAATACAGTGAGTTTGAAGCTCTCACGCAGTTCCTTAAAATGGCTCAGCTACAGGCAGGGTAGTACACAGGCTCTAACAACTAACGGGCAATAAAGTGGTAAACTAAAACAGCTGTTACGAGGCGACTGCATGGCTCCATCCTGAGCCTATGTTACAATCTATCACCTGAAAAAAGAAAGCACTTTCCTCATTTGCACTATGATGGAAAGTCACTGAAACAGGTATCGCTGGATGATGAAAAAAGGCTGGGTAACTGTCCTAGTTTTAGCTGGGACAGCGTTTTTTTTTAACAGCCAGAAGAGCTCCGTGTTTTGGTTTTACTCAGAGGCTCACTCTGAGAAGAATGTTGATAGCAAGCTGATGTTTGTGGTTGGAAGTGAAACTCCAAGGACTTTTCAGTGTGCCGGAGTGCAGGAACACTGTGGGACAAGGGGGACACGATTCCCCTTGTGATTTGTGGTGGAACTTAAGACTGAGGGCCAAACTGGCCAATTAGTATCCCATATCATGCAGCGTCATGCCCAGTATAAAAGCGAGGGGCAGCCGGGAAGAAGGGCTTTTGCGCTTTGGCTCTTTTGCACTTCTGCTCTTTTGCGCTTGCAGCGCTGTTGCTCTGCTGTTTTCCTTTCTTTTCTCTCTCTCTCTGCCCCTCTCTATTTCGGGGCCTCGCGTTCGTCCGGGATTGCAGCTTCGGGACGAGACGGGCTTCGCATACGAGGGGGTGGTGAACATTTATCCTGTGTATTAAATCATCTGTATTAAATCATTCTTATCTCAACCCACGGGTTTCCCGTTTATCCCTTAATTCTCTCCCTCATTCCTGGGGGTGGGGGAGGGGGAGTGACCGGCTGTGTGTGGGGGGGAAGTTTTCAACCTAACCCACGACAGTAACTATCAGCATATGCTTGCCCTGCTTTGACACTGTGCTACTTGGCCACTGTTGCAGGCAGGCTACAAGGAAATGTCCAAGACAAACTTTTCATTTGACTATTCCTATACTCTTTCCACCTTAGCTGCCTTCCAAATAGCATTCTAGTTCCTCATTGCTAGGATGTTGTATGTGTGCAACATGATTTAAGGACTGAAAGCCATTATCTCAGGGTCAGGTAAAGTCAAAACAAATTGACATGAAAGCAACAAGGTAATCTAGGTCCGTGTTTCACTGAGATTTGATTATAAACACAGGTCACTGGAGCAGCAGCATGGCCTTCCTTTACAAGCTATCAATTTTAATTTTTGTTCCTTTGTAATTTAGTCAGGGAATAGCAAAACAGTTAAGTTTCACAGCACAGATCATAATAATAAAGCTCCATCAGTAGCACCAGAATTTTTGAATATGAAGCATTAGCAAAGCTGAAAGCAGTAACAGAAGTGGTTTTCAGAATTAAAAAATAAGAATAAAAATACCACCAGTCCCAGATGCCACCATTCTACCTCATCACTGTGGAAATGAGAAGCCAGCTGCCCTTATGTGCAGCATGTCCAGGACCCCTTTGCTTCTGCACTGCTAGCAGTTCGCTCTTTAGATATTTTGCAATACTCAATGTCAGTGCATTGGATTCAGTCAGGTGGATGCTTCTCTGTCACTTTTTTCTATACAAAAGGCAGCCTTATAAAGCCTTAAAAGGCACGACAAGTTCTCTAGGCAAAGATCACTGTAGGAAAAAAACAGTAACATTTCTGCATGCTGGTTACCAGTGCAGAAGGTCAATATCAAACAAAGTAAAACTCCACCTTTTTTGTGATAAGAAATTAGTTTACTTGAGAACTTTAAAAATATTCTTCCACAGAGAACCCATATAACAGTGAAGCATTTTGGCAGCATAACACCAGCTGAAGAGTGCTGTGCTGTTTTTCTTTCCCCTACTGACTTCCAGAGGAGTGCTGTTTCATTAATGCTTTTATCTATCCATAGAAATCAAAAGGAGAGAAACGTGACAGGATTCAGTGACTACATTCTAATATTTGTACAAGTGGTGTAGTCAAAGTTAAACCGAAAAAATCCCAACCCTCTCAGATGCACCAGACAGTGCTCTTAAAATGTCACCTTGGGAGTTCTTCACTTTCACCTCCATGAATTGTTTTATTGCTAAAAGGATTATTTGCCTTCCTGACCTTGGTTTTTCCTTTGGGTACATAATAAATTCCAGAAGCTCGTAGAAGAAAATAACGCCTCTTCCAGGACTTTTTTCCATCTTCTTTTAAATAAAGGGCCCCTTCAAGCTCTGGCACAATGACAGATGTCCCACAGAAGCTTTCCTGTGCAACAAGAATAATACACAAAATAAATTAAGCACAAGCTTATTAATAAATAGCAGAAAAACGTTATCTTAAAAAATAGAGACTTTTTTGTGACGGTGAGCATATGAACATGGGGAGTTACCAGGGAGATGAACACCTTGAACAGGTAAAGGAAACTTTTCCAAGCTAATGTGGTAATTTGGTTGTGCAAGTTAGGCGCTCACACTGGAAAAGCAGGCTTGCAACCTCCACTGTCTAAAGGGTCAAGCAAAAATGTACAAAAGGTTTTAACGAGACATAGATGTGCTCAGGGATGGCAATAAAAGAGAGTGGTTGGTACTGCTGCTGTTGCTTTTTCTCTATTGCTGTATCTATAAGTTCTGTAGAAAAATACTTCTGTATATAGAATTTAGAGACTGCTTAAAGCTCTAAAAACAGCTAAAGACAAAATTCCTCATCAACCTCTGTTTTCACTTTGAAATACATGCTAGCGTTTATAACACTGTTTAAACAAATACACTTCATTGTTTGCTTGAAGGACCTACTGTTGAGTAATTTTTAACGACAACATCATTTAATGTTTTAATTCAGAATTTACCAGGACTTCTGCCGGTTGACATCCGGTGTCTTCATGAGATGCATTAATTTTGAAATGGGAATTCTCAGTCACATGAGAAGAGCATTTCTTTGTGAATTTTACCAAAGTCAAAATGCTTGCCAGGAGAACTGTGATAATCTTGTCTTTCATATAGCTCTGGATTTTTGTCTCT